GGATTTAACGCCGTTCACCACGACTCTCTGAACTCAACTGTCCAAGACAGTTCTTTACCCAGCAAACAGTAAACCTGTCTAAGCCACGAACCGCCAGTTTCTCTAGGAGAATGCTGTGGGAGATGCTCAAATTCCTCTCTTTGTTTATATTTTAAGAGAATGGAGACAATACTCACCAAGAGATGTGTGCTAAATTCATGCGTGGAAGTTACTAAAAGGAATAAAAGGCAAATTAAATTTGACCTTAATTTTAATATTTCAGTACTGGTGGTAGTGGGAAATAGTTATCAGTCTTCCCCAGTCATCTTTGGACAATGGAAAAACAGCGTCGACTGCCACAGTTTCAAGGTCTTCTAGATGGAAATTTAGTAGTTATGCAAATTCCATTATAGAAAGAAGTGAAATTTTTTTTACTATATGTTATCTCCGTAAGCTTTTTTCACTGCTAGTTTCTGTGTTAAGAACAATATTTAGTTCTTTATTTTAGCAAGAAAATACTTTATCCATTGCATTTTAAGAAATTATGAAACAACTTTAATTCTGTCAAGATTAATGTAGAAATATAACTCTCAATTTCCACAGTCCCGTGAAAGTATCAGTCACGTATGAGAAGTACCTTATTTACTAGAATAAGCCACCATTTCTTTTTTATCTTTTTTAAAATAGTTCTTTTGGCTGTTCTTTACTTGGACTCCCGTAAATTAAAAAAGTAACACGAGCAAAAAGCTCCTTAGAATGTTTTGGTGACTAGCATAGTTGGACGGTCTTATTTGTGAGTGGAATAAAGACCTTTATATTATACCTGAAAATATAACAAACATGGGAGGTGACTGACAGAAGAGAAACAAATCCAAAAATTGAGGCTTTGTCAAAAAATACTCTGCTAGCAGTTTGGAAAAGCAAGAGCTGAAGGGCCCCTACTGATCTTGAGTCTGACACTGTATTTCAGGAAGAGATTGTTCTCCCTAGTAACTAACATCAAATTTGATCTACTGACCTTTAAGTTTTGTATTCCTTTAATTTGTGTCTTATCTGCTCACACTTAGTATTTTTAACTGAATATTTTCGTTGTCTTTATTCAAAGAGTTTGAAAGCACTGCGAATTTGATGGCCATCCCTTTGCCTTGTGTTTTGTATCATGTTAAACCTTGACTTTGTTTGTAACGTTCTTTTACTCAAGTAGTCTGTCTGGGTTTTCTAGCAATGTAGACATGATATGATCAAGCCCAAGGGAGGAGTTGCACACATGTCTTGCTCTCTGCATCACAAAGGAAAACAACCTTAAAGTATTTGAAGTGTATTAACATAACACTGTTATGCGAGGTTGATGGTGTCTTTTCTCGGTAATGTCTCTGAAGCTGTGTGTAGGTGGAGGCTTGAGAACGGATAGCACGAATATTATGGATGAGTCTGGAATGGGTGAGAGAAGCAGAGTGTGTTGGAAATAAGGACACAATCTGAAACTGGGAGAGGGCTGTGACTCTACAAGGACTGTGAGTGGCTAACAAAGACTGTGAGCAAGAAGTGCTTTAAGAGCATTAGGACATAACATAATAAATGTAGTAAAGGACTTGTGGAATGGTAATGGAGAGTATTAAGGCAGAAGGATTCAGGAGGCTTTCAATTTTGATGCTCCAGTGTTGGTCTATAGAGCTGTTGCAGCTGTTTCTAAAACAGAGAATAGGACTGGGCATTTGCTTTCTAGAAGCATCGGTTCTCTTAACTGTTCTGTGCTGGGATGGGGTAATTCAGTTGAGGTTTTTCCCACAGTCACCAAATGGACCTGTCAGTTCTTGTGGTATAGAATCTGAGATGCTGTAAAATATTTCTTCAATGATAAGGACCACTGAACATTTTGTTTAATTTGTTGGTTTTATTTTGTGTAACTGAGATCTGATCTGTAAAACATTTTCTTTACACTTCTATAATGCAGTTACTGGAGTGAAAAATTACTTTCAGATCTCTAGCCCAAGGCTACTTCTTGAAAGCATTTTCAAAACACTGGTACTTGTGTATCCAAGTGATTCCTGTTGTGGGCAGATCGGATTATACCAAGCCTAAAATTTTACCTTGTTGTTCTGATTATATTTTACAGAATCTGGGAAGAGGCATAGCTGGCAGCTTCCCCTCCTTTTCTCTAAGTGTGAGGGCTTTCCTCACGGTAAAGCAGAAACCCTCTCCTGTGATCAGGAGAGGTTCAGCACAGTCTGAATGGGGTAGCTCTGAAGAAACTGCTGTGCCTTATAATTGTGTTTACTGAACACTAATAATGGAGAGTGCTGTAGCTTTGCGGTATGTCCCCTTAAATGTCCTTTTAGTGTTTCTGAACAAAACAATAAAATAGCCTATACACACAGTGATGTCAAATACAGAAGGAAAGATACGGAGAAAATTATTTATCTGAAAGAGCAGTAAATGTTTGTGCTTCTTATTATATTAGAAAGTAGTAGTTTTTTAAAAAAATTGGTTTCAAAATAATAGCAACACCTGAAATAGATTGTGTCTGCAGTCTTTCAATGCTTTGTAATCCTTAGTGACCATATCCTCTCCTCTGTGAGTCTGGGAAATACTGTCATCCCAGCTATAGAAACTATGAAATGTACTTAGGAAGCGAGACACAAACTTGGGTGTTTTGTCTAAGATCACCCAGAATATCTGCACAGAGCGGGGAATTGAACTAAGGTTTTCTGGGTCTAAGCTTGAATTGTAATGATTAAGTAATCCTTTGTGTTCCAATTCTAGCACTGCTGATATCTCCTCTATGATCCTTCCCCATATTCTGAGGGAGGAAATGGCTGAGGTGGTGTTGTTAACTCTCAAACTGACAGACTTATTTAATACTTGCACAGCTCCTAATATTTTCTACCTGAGAACCTCACAAAGATGAAATTAGATGTTAGGATATGATGGCCAAGTCAAAATCTTAATACCGAAATTGGATCTGTGTAAATGTATTTTAGGTCTCCTATGTGATTAGAGATGAAGTGGAGAAGTATAACCGAAACGGGGTAAATGCACTTCAGCTGGATCCAGCATTAAATAGACTCTTCACAGCAGGGCGAGACTCTATTATAAGGATATGGAGTGTCAATCAGCACAAGGTAAATCTTGAGAGTATTCCTATGTCTAAACCTACTTTTTTCCAAGTTATTATGCTAGTAAGCTGCCTACAGGTGTACATCTGATACTGTTTTTTAACAGCTGACAATTATTATGATAGGAAAATAATTTTGATATTGCTCATACTGTGATTTCTTACATAGCTGTATAGTTCTTTCACAGAAAGATTCTGGAGTAGTGACTGCAAGCAGCTCTGCATTAGGCAACTTTTGGTCCATCTGAAGGTTGAAGAAAATACCACAACAGGATATGATAGTCACAATCTTTTACATTTGTGCTATCATTTGTGAGATCTTACAAACTTTTTTTTCTTAATTTGCAGCAAGACCCTTATATAGCATCTATGGAACATCACACAGATTGGGTAAATGATATTGTGCTCTGCTGCAATGGTAAAACATGTAAGTACTTAAATATTTGAAAACTACAGTATGCAGAAATTGTGTATAAAACTATGTTATCTGCTGCTTTAATTATTTGCCATGCTTTCTTAGCATGTAAAATAAATTTGTGATGTGTATTGTAAATTTGATAAGTAGTGTAAGCAAATGTTTTAATGAAAATGTAAATGTATATATAAATGATTCTTTTAATCTTTTTGTAAAGCAAATTAGAGTAGTACAAATATGCTCTAAAGTAATATATAAGCCATTAAAGTTTACTCTTTATTCTTTCCAATTTAGTGATATCTGCTTCTTCAGATACTACTGTTAAAGTGTGGAATGCACATAAGGGATTTTGCATGTCAACACTAAGGACGCATAAGGTGAAAAACATTATCTGTAAATACTGCATGTTATCCCTGACAATCTTTTAAATACGAAGATGTAGACTTCAAATGGATAATGTTGTTGATTCATGTTGTTATATTTACTTTATTGTAGGATTATGTGAAAGCCTTAGCATATGCAAAAGATAAAGAACTGGTAGCATCTGCTGGGCTGGACAGACAGATATTCCTCTGGGATGTAAATACTCTAACAGCACTGACTGCCTCAAATAACACCGTAACAAGTAGGTACCTAGGGAGGGGAGGCAAATGCGATGCATTTTGCGGAGTAGCGTAATATGCGAGATCAGTTTAAAGTGATAGATACCTGTTTCTGTGTGTACGTAAAAAATGTGCAAGAAATGTTAAGGTGGTTTTAGTATGTAATCTGTCCATTTGCTGCGTTATATGATAGCTGAAAATCTAGAGCAGCCAACAGTCATGGAATTTAGGATAGAGGACAGGTCTCTTCAAACATCTTCTCCTGAAATGTAACCTGTAATAATGTAATAATACCTGTAATAATGGTATTCTCTGAAACTTGACAGAGCTTCAGCTTGAGAAGCTGTTTGCTCCTCACCTAACCCATTACAGAAATTTTCCTTTAGGTTATTTGTCAGTGCATTTTCTATGTATTATAATTTGTGTTTGTGTTTTTTTGTTTATATAGATGCTGCCAAAAACTGCAGTACGACTCCTAAAGCAGGACTTGATATATTTGTAAAATCTGTCAGAAGAATAAAGTTACTAGATAAATTAGATTAAAACTCATGCAAAGTAACAGTAAGCACTAATTATGTAAGGATAGCATACTAGTGAGATCTAACTCACTAGATATTAGAAGGCAAGGGGAAACTGTCCATAGATTCTGCTTATCAAGGTTAATCCTTAATGTCATCATCATCTTTTAGGAATTGATCTGTCCCAATCAAGGCATTATAAGTAATGTAAGTTACGAGATCTTTCCCTGTAGAGCAATTCCAACGCCACTTTCTTAGAACAGTCAGAATGCAGCTGGATAAGTTTCTCTTCTGGGCAAGTTCCGTTAGATTTGATTGCTCGAGTGAATAATGTAAATCTGGGTCATCAGCATCCTGGTTTGTGTTGGCTGTTTTACAATACATTTTTTTCAGAGAGAGATCTAGTTTGACCACAGTGTGTTTTGCTGCTTATAGGTAGATTGGAAAAATAGTATTCAAAGTGATTGGTCTCTTTCACTTTATACTTAGTGTCTGATGCATATTTAAACAGTAGCAGAGTCTCAGATGTATACATTGGGAGAGAACATATCCTCTTGCTACACTGCCACACTTGAACTTTCTAGATAAGACTACTTGCTTCCTCATTCATAGGTTAGGAATGACTCAAGAAAAATCTCCAAAATTAAAATTTGAAATTGGCACAACATACTTCTTAAGAAATTTCCAGGGTATGTGATTCTGTAAATAAGAGGCAGGCTTATAGTTGTTTTGGTGGGTTTTTTTATATTACTGTTTTAGCTGATTCTTGAAGGTGTGTTAATTTTATGGATTTGGTAACTCCTAAAACCAAAGGTACATTTGGTGGGCAGAGCTGTCAGTTTTGCATTTGTTCTGTCTACAGGACTTTTTAATTCCAGTACAGCCTTATGCTGGCATGTCTGTGTAGCCTTTGGAAGAGAGGTGGCTTCTCGTGAGCTGTGTTGCACTGCAGAACAGTATTGGGATGGCACATGACTGCACATAACTAAATAGATTTATCTTATATTTTCCGGAAGTTTTCTTTCACTGAAACTAGAATTATTTATCACAAAACGTTGCTGATAACTGTAAGTTATGATATCTTCTGGTTGAAGAGGGACTTTTTGAAGGAAGAATTTGCTGACTCACAGGAAAACTCAGTTGGGGGAGAACAAAAGCCTGGTTTCTTGAGCACGGCAACAGAGCCTAAAGTGAATCATAAATGGGACATGGGGAGTACTGAGGAGCTGATGCTTGTTTTGAGCCCAAGATCAAATGGAAGTGGAGACATTACCTCTAAGATGACGGAAATAAATTTGCATTTCTAGAGTTAGACCATTAGTGTTTTGTGAGGGGGAGGAAGGGGAAGCGGGGGAGTTATTTTTCTATCTTTCTAGTGCTCCTAGCTAACAGTGTTTCTGTTGCAAAGAACATGATATATGTCCTTAAAGAAGGTGATTTTCCTCAGTCCTTTCAAACAATATTGATTTTTTTTTTTTTTTTCAGAGTGCAAATGAATATTGTTCTGGTGCATTAATTTTCTATGTGATTACAGGGAAGGAATGTACACAAGCCAGCATTAAAAGGAAGCCTATTTTTAAAGAGTCTCTCAGTCAGCATAGCCATAATTTAAATTAAGTGGAGAGATTCTGCTTTTGAGAGGTAGTCCCTTCCGGAAGATGGAGTAGAGCTTTGCTTTTGTTGTGGCATGAATTTTGCTTCTGTATACTTAAGATTCTCTCTTCCATTCCTGATGTCCAGCTTGTGATAACACTGTAGAACATCCTTTCATAAATTATTATGGTTGTTGAACAATGTCCTAACCTTCAAGAGATTTCTTGGTTCTCCTTTTTGCCTTCAACTATTCTCTGGGGACCGTGGAAGACTATCACTTTATTTTGGCTACAAATAGTAGATTTCATTTGCAAGTTTACATTTGGATAGCCATAGCTAGTGGTTAAGAGGACCCTGAAGTAAAGCCGCAAAATTCTTACACTGTGACAAAATGTTTATGGTATTGGGTCACAAATACTGTGTTATGTATATTATGGAAATAAGTTTCTAAATCATTATATAAAGTTTCACATTTTTACTGGCAATACAGCTTGTTGCTCTTTCTAACCTTTTTGGCATACTGATCGTATGGTTTTGAGGCTTGATGAAATGCCTAATGGTGCGCTCTGAATAGATGATTTCCATTTGCTGTGTCTGTGCTTTTCCTGGTTGAGGGATTGGTACTTTAATCTGTCCAAAATTAGATTAGGCTAGATGGTACAGAATTCCTCAGCTCTGATGGTAGTTGTGATGCTAAGGAGTTCCCATACGGTTTTCACAAACACAGAGGCAGCATCCTTGCTCTCACATTTCAACACTGCAGTGTAACTTCAGTAATGTCTCTCTGCTGAACTAAGAGAAGAGCCTTTAATAGATAATGTGGAATTTCACTGCTACTTGGCTTGGAAAAAAATCTCTGCATTTAAATCCAAATACTATGTATTATAAGATCACGCAGAAATATTGTTCTCTAATAAAGTAGTTGAGCAAGAGTATCTTGATGGTCCTGGCACTGAATTGTGGTGCCAAAGGGCACCAGTATTGTAATGACTGTAAGTCCGAGGGGTTACTTTGTTTTTATGCAGCAGCAGATTAAGAATTCAGATGGGGTTTTCCTAGCAGTATGCTGTCTATAGTTTTTCTGTTTTTAAAGCAATTCTTTATATGGGGTAGAGTGGTAACATTTTCATGAATCAAAGGGTATTAAAATACCCTAAAATACCATTTTTGAGTGAATAAGTATGTTTTTTAAATGACTGCATTAAAATTGAAAATGTAAATTTTATTTTGAAATAGCGTCTTCCCTGAGTGGGAACAAAGACTCTATCTACAGCCTTGCAATGAATCAAATGGGAACAGTTATTGTATCAGGGTCCACTGAAAAGGTAAGCAAAAATCTGGTAAGGCTCATTCCACTTCAGTTCAAAGTTTAGTATAAAGAGACAATTTTATTCATTTCCAATGTCATGTCTGTAGTAGCTTTTGTGGTTTTAATAGTCAGGGTAGACACTTTTTTTAAGTAGGAGTGTAAGTGTAGGATACAAATACCTACCTCAGTCTGAAGATGTGTATGTATCCACATAGCTTTAATACACAGAAGAGACAATCAGATCATCTTGTGTAACCCACTATCAGAGATCATTACATTTCATCACAAGAGCTCTGATTTTGGGGGCACATTACTCAGATGATTATAAAAACTAAAGCAGTTGCCACAGGTAAGAAAGAAGTGGTGCCGGCAATCCCAGGTGGTGGGAAATGAAGTGGGCTAATGAAGTTCAAGTGTTCCCAAGGGATAGCCCATGCTCTTTGTTGTAAAGGAAGATGAAACACCCTGAAGTCCCCTGCGAGTTGACTTTTTTTTTTTCCCAACCTAATCTAACGTTGAGGAAATTTTATTTCCAAGTCAATATAAAAATGAAAATATGATACACCAGCAAAGCACCGGAGAGGATTCTCAGAATATTTTTTTTTTTTTTTACCCACATCACACTTCCTGTTTCCAGTCACTTCCATTCTTAAAGCATGTTTTTGGTGGTGGATGTCTGTATGTTTGGAATAAGGGTCGGTTTATTTGGAAAGGCTTAATCTTCTGTAAAGAACATGCATTGGTGGGAAGAATGATGTTAATGCCAGTTATCCAATGTCTGTTTACGTAGGTTCTAAGGGTGTGGGATCCAAGAACTTGTGCAAAACTAATGAAACTCAAAGGGCACACGGACAACGTAAAAGCTTTGTTGTTGAACAGAGATGGCACCCAGGTATGTGCTTTAACTTGAGACAAAGGCATTTTACAGAATGCGGAAAAGCCATTAGTCTTTCAAATAGAATTATTTTGTCATAGATTACAGAAGGTAGCTTAACAAGTATTTTACAGATATTTAGTGATTAAGGGAGGAGGGAGGCTAGTGGGTGAAAGCCCTGTCTTGTTACGGGTCCATCTAGGTATGGAAGGAGTGGTGCACATAAAGTGTCTGGAAATTGTGACCAGAGTTTTTAACTTCCAGTCTTTGTTTAGCACTGTCTTAATGGGAAAATAGAGCCATAAGAATTATGAAAGCTTTTTGTGGAAAAAAAATATTTTAAAAATCGTAAATACCTGCTTGATTTAAGTATGATGGTTGTTGCTCAGTGTCTTTCAGGCAGCTCTGATGGAACTATCCGCCTGTGGTCCCTTGGGCAGCAGAGATGTATAGCCACATATCGAGTCCATGATGAAGGTGTTTGGGCTCTGCAGGTGAATGAAGCCTTCACTCATGTTTATTCAGGAGGAAGAGACAGGAAGATTTATTGTACAGATTTACGAAATCCTGATATCCGTGTACTTATCTGTGAAGAAAAGGCACCAGTTCTTAAGGTAATTGAGTTTAATTAAGGGAATCACAGAATGGTTGATGTTGGAAGCGACCTCTGGAGGTCATCTGGTCCATCCCGCCTTGCTCAAGCAGGGTCATCTAGAGCCGATTGCCCAGGACTGTGTCCAGATGGCTTTTGAGTATCTCCAAGGATGGAAACTTCACAGCCTCTCTGGGCACCCTGTTCCAGCACTCAGTCACCCTCACAGTATAGAAGTCTAATTGTATTGCATGTTGTCTAATGAAACAGTGGCTTGAGGTATAAGTTGATAAAAGAGTCCATACTGGGTAACAAGTGTTTACTATACCACATCTTCAGTATATTGGCTTTGTCTCCTAAATTACATCTGAAAACTAATTGTCTGAAGAAGATAAATGCCTGGCAGTTACTTAAAATATGCAAATTAAAATATTACTGAAATTGAATATTCTTCAGACATGAAAAGTTGTTTTTACCAGACTCTAGTACAGTTTTAAGAAACTAAGCCAGCGTTGCCAAGGCTTTAGACAAAAATGGATGTTTCTTAGCAGCAAAATATATGCACAGGACTGTGTTAGACTATGTTGCATAGTCATGGGAACCAGGAGTAAAATTTATTGTGGGTTTTTTGAACACCTTAAACATGTTTTCTTAACTGAAGAAAACTGAGACTGCTTTGGATTTTTTTTTTGCTGTCTGTAACTCTAGATGACATGACCTCAGAACGTGTAGCTGTATAAGGAATGTGTGATCGAAACAGATACCAGTATATAAGCAATCTGGCTTTCCTTGTGAGTGAACTCTGGCTTCGTATGTTCAGATAAAATCCTGGATATATTAATGTAGTTTTGAAAAAGTCAGAAGCTGAGAAGCTTCAGTTCAAAATGGAAAATGAAAGCTATGGTCAGCTGTAAAAAGATCAGAAGAGATCTCTAATGTCTTGGCTACAGTGATTCATTATTGTCAAGGAATATAACAACAGAGCCAAATGTATAAAGTTCTGCTTTTTAATTGGTACAGAACTTCTTATGTTCTCTTTTTAACCATGTGAAGTATCTGAATGCAGAGTAATTCAGAAAATATCGTACTTATCTAACTGTCCATTAAATAAGGTTGTATCAAGCTAGAAGCAACTTTAAATGCTGGGCATTTAGACATTGCATGTACTATTGTCCGTGTCCAGATTTATTTGTTGAATATTTGAAACAATTTCTCTGGAGTTTCCAAAATTGCAGCTTAGTTATTTTTCATTTAAACTTTGTATTTCTTTAGTAAACTGAAAGTAGTGCTGTTTCTGAGATACATCCAAGTATGGGAGCAGGTCTATACAGAGCAAATATTAATTGAACAAAGGAAAATTGAGTTAGGCATGCCTGAAAGTATCTGTGGTTTAATTATTTAGATGGAACTTGATAGATCAGCTGATCCTCCTCCAGCACTTTGGGTTGCAACAACTAAATCCTCTGTGAATAAATGGGTAAGTGATATATTTTACACTCTGAATTCAGTTAAGTAGTTGTGGGATTTGCAGTCTTGGTTTGGGGACTGTTGCTTGAAATTTAACTATGACTTGCTATGATATGTAAGCCTTCTTCAACAAAAAAAAAATCATAAAATGCTAATATTGAAATTGATCAAAAGTCATTAAGCTGTTACTTCTTTTGCTATCTATTTATGCTGCTTTTAGAAATAAGTTATCTTTCTTAGAATTGGAGTGTTAACATCTTAATAGCAACATAAACTGGCAGTTGTTACTCACAGGTAAAAGCAAAGTTTATTATGAATCTGTCATTATTTTGTTTCTTGCTTTAGACTTTGAAGGGAATTCATAATTTTAGAGCATCTGGAGATTATGATAATGATTGTACCAATCCTATACCACCCCTGTGTACACAGCCTGACCAAGTTATAAAAGGTAAACAGTTATTTTCCAGAGTACCTTATAAAAGCTGTTATCGTTAGTTAGATCTTTAAGACTGGCTCAAGTTTTTAGGTACTTGATACTGATGATTTCAACTGAAACAAAGGCAATGTGGTTATCATCTATCTAGTGTTAGTTACAGTTAAAATAGTGTTTAAACTTTGGTGATATCCAAGTCTTACATAAAGTAGTGAAACCAAAGAACAATTACACTTGTCGTGTTACACAGTTTAATTTAATGCAATATTAGGGAAAAAAAAAAAATCCCTGTAGTGACCTTAATTCTTGTTTGTTTGCTAGGGGGTGCTAGTATTATTCAGTGCCACATTCTTAACGACAAGAGACACATATTAACCAAAGACACAAATAATAATGTGGCATACTGGGATGTCTTGAAGGTAAGTATATAATTTTGGATTAAGCATCTACTGTTGCATGATTAATTATTTCGTACCTTTTTTTATGGGTTTTTTTTTGGGTTTTTTTTTTTAGTGCATGAGATTCCTATGGTAGAAAGTAAGTCATTTTTCTGTCCCAAGACATAACACAAAGATTGCTTTTTGAAAGGGGAGGGAGCATTTCTGAGCTTTTCTGCATCTTTGCCTGATGTGAGGCTGACATCTTCATTCACCTGTATTCAATGAAGTATTGACATCTTCATTTACCTGAAATTCAGACACTTGAATTCTCTCCTGAAAAATGTTTTGTCTTGATTAGGTTTTGTTTCAGAGGGCTCGTAGAGGCCCATGGGCATGTCTGCCCAACGCAATATGGAATAGCATAAAAGAGCTTAGCCCGTAAAAGGGAAACCTGTGCTTCAGGTCTTGCTATAAACCTACAGATCCCAAGCGAGTGTGCTGACTATCTGTGGATTATTCTGGGAACATGAATTTACCATGTCCCGTGTTAGTTGGCAAGACGGCAGGCAGGAAGAAGGTGGGACTGGAAGGAAAGTTAGCAGAAGGAAGCATGGCTCCTGCCTAGCGTTACTTGCTCCTGTGAGGAGGGAGGAACGTGGCATGGCGTTTCTTTATCTTGCTTTACCCAATGATTGGTCAGAGGAGAGGGAAAAGAGTGCAGAAAGAAAGGACCAGAATCCCAGATCAGTGAGATAGTGAGCAGTTTCTTCTCTTGCAAAATCCTATTTGAAATTCTAAATCTTTTTTCATCTTGAACTATGCAGTGCTCCAGCCAAGATTCAGTAATGAAGAAAAGCACGCTCAGCTAACTTGCTGAGTTCCTGACTGAAGTGAGAAAGAAGGGAATTAACTTTTAGTACAAATCTACATTCTCCAACTTGTCTAGATTACTTTTTTGTGGAAAATTAAATAGCTTTTCTTTCAGTTTACAGTTGGTATATATTTAAGTACAGTGTTAGGTATTGGGACCAAAGTCCAATGCTAATGTTAATTTGTACCTTCATTCAATTCTTTTTCTCTTTTGTTAGTAAGGGTTTCAGAAGTATCTCTTAGATATGTTTAAATACATATTCACTTTAGAGATGTGGTTACTCACCAGGTCAAAGTGTCATCTTATGTGTAGGATCACTGCACTCTAAAGCTGAGACTCTTTATTGAGAATACTGGAAGAAAAGAGGGAGGTTTTCTTACCTGTAACTACAGTGTTCGGTCTTTGCTTCCTGTAACAGTTCCTGGTTTTTGAGGAAATAAGTCTTGCAAGGTTACAATCCTTAGAGTTTGCCTAAAGCATGTGTTTCAGGTTTCAGGATGACTGTGTAAGTGGATTACAAGAATTTGGATGTTAACAGACTTACTTGAGGAACTTTCACTATTTGTTTTATTTTATGCTTTTATTTTTAAACTAAAATAGGAAAAAGGAATATGCACACAAATTCACTCACTGCTGTTCCCACTGCAGAGTGGAGCTGAATTTGTTACTAGATTTGCAAGAAATATTGGTGTTTGATGGAGAGTTGTACTGAAATGCTGATACTGATGGGGAGGAGAATGGCACAGGATGCTAGAAGACAGCTATCTGCTCAGTGAGAGGAAAAATTGTTTTATTAAAGTGAAGTAATACTTCCATACCTCTCCACTGGCTTGATGCCACTACCTCAGAAATAAATAATAAGTAAAAAAATAAAGCTTGCTTACCACATAGACTAGTGTTCAATTTTTTGAGAAAAGTTTGAACTAAAGCTTGCTTACCACATAGACTAGTGTTCAAATTTTTGAGAAGAGTTTGAACCTTTAACTCTTTTTGTTTCTGGACTACAGTACTCATGGAGAAATCGTAAGTCATAATCATTCCAACAGTATATGAAAGTCAAGTAAAAGATTTGAGGTGTTGGTATGACTCAATACTCAGAATTTTAAAACTTCTGTCTTTCTTTTGGTGTACAGGCATGTAAGGTTGAAGACCTTGGGAAAGTAGATTTTGAAGAAGAAATTAAGAAGAGATTTAAAATGGTGTATGTGCCAAACTGGTTCTCAGTAGACTTGAAAACTGGGGTGAGATACAACTCCTAAATCTGGTGTTCTAATGTCGTTTTTCATATATCTTCATATACTGTTTGTTCACAAAGGTTTTAGTGTGTTCTCAGTTTTGAAGAATGATCTTCATTTATCTGGTGGGTTAGATTTATTTTGAAGCAAACCAGCAAATTTTACCTCAGTTCTTAGTAATCTGAATAACAAGATTGTTTTTAATTTTTTTTTTCTCATGGTATGGTTAGTTTAAATCCACCAATACAAATTATGAATTAATACAGTTTGGTAAACATAGTGTGCTATCGTGCATTTAGAAATTCTTTGTTTTGTATTCCCAGATAAGTATGAACAAAATAAATTTATAGACTTTAATACAAAGCAACTATTGCATTCTTGTTCCTGGTGGTGTTTTTCCAACAGATGTTGACAATTACTTTGGATGAAAGTGACTGCTTTGCAGCCTGGGTTTCAGCAAAGGATGCTGGATTTAGCAGTCCAGATGGTTCTGATCCAAAACGTAAGTTTTAACTAATAATGAGTGTTTTATTGAGACAAAAAAACAGAATGAACTCCAGTACTTATGTTTCAAAGTATTCCAGCGCCTAAATATTTTAGGATTTAGCTATCCTAAAATAGCTGGATTTTAGGGCTTATTTTCTTGAGACTAAATTCTGCAGAGAATTCTCCAATGAGAATGTTTGGGGGTTTTTCTGAAACATTTCAGTCATATTCAGGTTTTCTGTTTAACTTGGTTTTAAGCCTTCAAAAAGCAAAAGGGAAAAAATAATGTTCCTAAACTTGGTACTATTACCTAATCCAGAGAAAGTTTTAGCATGTGAGTGATCCAACAGCCGTGATTGTAAAAACAGCTTTTTCTGAAAGACTGTAACGTATAGCTCTGAGATTGTCAGAAGCAGATTTCTGTGCCGACAAATAGTTTGTTTTGGAGACAGAACTACTGAAATTTTGGGGAAAGTTTTCAGCTGTGGATCAAATGTAGAATGTTATGATGTCAACAGTTTTTGTGTAACTGAAGTTCTGCCTTGCTATGTCTTGACAGTAAACCTTGGAGGGCTTCTGCTACAAGCACTTCTGGAGTATTGGCCTAGAACACATATCAATCCAATGGATGAGGAAGAAAATGAAATAAATCATGGTTAATATTTTAATATTTTCCTTTTTTAGGATTTGTTCATATATTCTGTTTGTTTATGTTTCCGTTTCTTTAACAGATACAACTTGATTTGCTGTCTCATAACTGTCTCGCTGTGCTTTATAGACTTAAATGTTTTTATTTAAATTTGCTTAACACCAGAATTTGCTGAGTAGCTTTTTTCTTCTGAAGGTGTCAGCGAAATTTTTAAGAACTTTAGTCCATAAAAAAGTAGGTGAATAAATGATTCTGAAGTTACAGAAACATGATGCCTTGATGAGAAACAATTACTGGCAAAACTAAGGCTTGACTTGGAAAAGAAACAGCCTAGATAATGACAGCGAAGAGCAATAGTTCTGTTATTCAACATTAACCAGTATTCTCTTGACATAATTCCAATTAGTTTCTAGGTATTATGAACAATATAAAATAAAAGAAAGATTTATTAAAAAATACTCAATGGCTATTAGAATAATACATGGGACAGGTCTATATAAAAACCATCTTAAAATGGTATTTTAAGGTAATAATGCTAAGTCTAATCAGACATGAGAAAGAAAGCACAACTATGTAAAATGTAAGATAGTGGCTGAATTTGGCAGAATAAGAGACTATATAACTCAAAGTTTCTGGATTATTTTGAAATTAATTCAACCCAAATCAGAGTTGACTGTAAAGCTTTGTCTTTAGTGATTAAGAAATTACTCTCTACAGATAATGCAGTTAAGAAAACTGTAAGTTCAGCAATATCTTGCCATTTTCTACCAAAGATTGTGCCAAGAGTTAGCTACTTTCTTCTTTCAAAAATTATCTCCATGGAGGATTACAACACTTGGCAGGCTTTTCTGGACAAAGTTGCTGATTCTCACTCTTTTGTGTATTGGCAGTCTGCAGCTTGAGAGCCAGACAATATATGGGAAGTGTAACTCAGGCTTTTGTATTGTTGGAACACTGATGCTGTGCTACTTTTTTCTGTGAATAGTTGTGGATTAGTGGAATGTTTACAATATTCACTACAGAATCAGTCTTCATTTTCCCTTTCAAAAGTAGCAATTAAGAAACTGACACTGAACAATGACTTAAGAAGATAAAGTGTAACTGTTGGACACTGAAATTTGTGTAAAGAGACAAGAACTTAAATGTACATATATATATGTGTGTATATGTGCAGCATTGTTCCTCTCCATTGTTAACAGAACTGTTACGAAGAAATCTTTCAAACTGTAGGATTTTTCACTTGCTCTAACTTCAGTATCATATTCATCCTTTCTAATAGAGAACAGATTTTCTTTTTTGGTTTCTTGCTTGATATAATTTTTGACCTTTCTTTCACTACGTGTGTTGCTGGTCAGAAACCTAAGGACTTATTCATCTCATGAGACTATGCCATTTAAATTTCTTATGTTGCTTGAATTCAATGTGATGTTCAAATACAGTAATTAGATGCTGCAATGTAATCAAGATTATCTTTCTCAAGTGAAAGGAAGGCATCTAAATACTTCTATATAGTGTTTCAAGATACGTGAATGACTAGAAGCTGTACTCTTAAAAAGGTGCATAAATAGCACTGATTTTTCTTTAATTGTATCCTAAGCATCTGATGGGGAATCAGGTTCTTCAGTGTTTGAAGACCATACTGCTATAACTAGCTAAAAATTAATTGGATTTAGAATGCAGTAACTTCAAGGAAATGTGAGTCAAAGCTTTACTAGTAAACTGTTTTGACATCTGGCAAATCCAGGTAGAAGAGCAGAAGCTGACATCCTTGAGAGTTCTGTACTGTCAGTGTAGGTGGGAAAATATAGTCTCGTCTCCGTGGAATCTCTGTAGTTGTTTTCTAATATTGGTATGTTTCAGTTTGACAAATCCTCAGCATTCTGTTAAGGAACTGGAGAAAACTAGTAATCAGGTTTTGGCTCATGAGCTCTTAAAGGCTTTTGAAATAGACCTTCTACAAACCTGTATTGATCTCATTACTCTCTAGTGTTCCGTTCGATATACTTGCTATGTGGTGGAAATGGGGTTTTTCTTGTTTTTCGTAAAGCTTATGATTTTGTTAGTTTATGAAATACATTAGCTGTAGGTGGAAAAGACGCTTTTTTGGTCTATGTATACTCAATTTTAAGACCTGTTGCAGTCTCACTGTTGTGTATATTTTTTTCCAATAGTGAATGGTGAGCAGGAGAACAGAGTCCAGAAAGGAAATGGATATTTTCAAGTGCCACCACATACACCAGTTATTTTTGGTGAGGCTGGAGGACGCACTTTGTTCAGGTATAAAAATGCAAGAGTGTAAATTTGGTGGGTAAACAACCATTTCCTTTGTGCAAGCACATATATTATCAAAATGTAATACTTGCATCCGTTCTGTACTGTATATACAAGAGAAACCCTTGACAGGCAAAATAAGCAGCTGTTAATGATAATCTTGCATTGTCCAACTGAGTATGTGAGTTTGAACATCAACAAGGTGTGGGATTTTACAACATTAAGAGTTGTATGGTAGTTCTTAGTTGTATGTCATTATAGCTGTACGGCCTTTCTGGGTTCCCTCTTCCTGCCAACTGCTTATCTGAACTTTGTTTTAAAATGAAATTGTGCTACTTCAGATTCTTGTAGGACTTCTCTTGTGGGTCTGTTGCACTGGTCTTTGAGCATTAATGAATGATTTGGATGGAGAGGTTCCTGCTCTCTAGAGAGCTGGCTTCTGCTCCCAAAATTATAGTTGATGACCCATTAAAAAGTCCTCAGCTCTGGCAGGTCGGAGCACAGCTTCTGTATTGCCATGTTTCTATGCTGATTACCCTTCTATTTCTTTTCATTCTACATTGGAAAGGCTAACAGGGATATGTGGTACATCAGAGACAGTTTAACAGTGCTGCAAAACAAATGCCAAGTTGTCAAATACCGTGAAGAATTTAATATTTACTGACATAATGAATTTTAAATTTGAGGGGTGGGGGATGTTTTATTTGATTTTGTTTCCCAGGCTGAACAGGCTCAAAAACTATGTACCTGTCAGTCCATGAGTTGGTCAGTAAAACAGGGTAACCTTTTTCAGCTTTGAAAACTGGTTGTTTTTGGTTTTTTTCCTTCCCTGCAGTATCAATGTATTTACGTTGTAGCTAGGGCTTAATATTTGCATCCATTCTGTACTGGTGGGCCGTACACCTTCTGCAACTTGTTCTCAGGACAACACTGAAAAGACACCACTGAGGGAGCAAGCCATACTTACTGGACCTGAAAGCTGGCTTGCAGGAATCTTTGATAAAATACTGGAATTGATAAAATTACACATGGCTTTGTCTCACCATTGTATGTGCAAATTTCTTAAAACTGGTTTTCTTTTTCCCATTCGGTGAGGGCTTAGCAGGTGCTTTATATGCAAAGCTCATTTTTTCCAAGCAGAAAAGAATTGCTTTATACCAAGTGCCTTTCCCCTTCTCCTGACAGTTTCGTACTTCAACACACAATATACACAATCCACGAGCAAAGTAGCTTTTAAATTTCTCTGGGCCACAGTCTATAGTCTCCTGAGATACTTCTCCCTGTTTCTGCTCTAGGGTTCTGTCTTCTTCCTGCAGCTACTTTTTCTGGTCTTTACAGAAAATACATGCTCACTTCCCCGATAAGTTTGATGATGTGAAGGGACAGCTAACCTACCTCGCTGCCTGTTAAAAGGGCAGATCCTCTCCTGCAAGCTTTTTAGTGCATGTTACAATAATTGTCTTCATTCACAAAGGTTATTTCTGTATGTCTTAGGTTATTATGTCGGGATTCAGGTGGTGAAACTGAATCTATGCTTCTTAATGAAACTGTGCCACAATGGGTGATTGACATTACTGTGGATGTAAGTATCACATGTATAGATTTTGCTTTTTCGTTGTTGTTTTTGTTTGTTTGTTTTTTAAGGTGTACTACAATTTTTTTTAACTGTACAGGATCTGAAATGACATTTCAAATTTTTGCCCTTTTTGTATTTAAAATAAGCGGTCTCAAGACCCTTTGAGATTCATTATTTTTTGGTGTGTCCAGTTAAGGCATGTTTGCTCGCTCACTTTTGACACAAAGTCTTACAAAAAGAATTCAAAGCACTGTGCATAATTGGTGTCCTTTTCAAGTGTGGAGCTCAGGAACAGAAAATACTCTTCATATTGCAGCAGTCTTTTGATACTGTCTAATTTCCTTTGAAATAAATGATGATTTATATTCAAAAGCTAGGTGATAGGTACGTCATCTAAATGAAGCATCTCAGGAGGGTGAGTAATTTGGAAGTTGGCTGTGGTGGTGATGTTGATTAAGAATCTCTCCTGGTTTTTGATAATTAGGAGCTGAATATACTTCACATACCAGCTGGATAACAGTTCATCCTAAATTAATACTTTTCAAATTTGTTTTCTTCTAGAAAAATATGCCCAAATTCAATAAGATTCCCTTCTACCTCCAACCTCATTCATCATCAGGGGCAAAAACTCTAAAAAAGTAAGTAATGCGTATTTGACTCTCAAAACTGCAGAAAGAGAATTGCAAGCTCAAAAAAAAACCCCAACCAAACAAAAAAACCCAAACACCCAAAAACCCCAAAGGAACAGTTTGCCAGAGAATTGTATTGTGCTTGATGAATTTGTCGAACTTTTCTAGTAATTTAAGCAGCATTGCTCTGAAGCATTGAATTATACCAGAATATTTGAAAGAACTGTAGGTTTCTTTTGGGTTCAGTGTGCCGTTGCTTACATTTATGCTAAGAAATGTCCAGGAACTAACTACTAAAATTAGACTGTTTCTTGTGGTATTTAATCACAAAACAGAGGAACTTGGAGACTGTTACACTGTTCAGAACCACAATTTTTTATTATGTTTCCTGTTAGTAACAGTGATGAATGATAGCTTTTTAAAAGGAAAAGGTGCAAAACCTGATGTTTTGTCATATTTGGGAATGCAAGGTAGTTTGCCCATCACATTAGCTGTAACTGGGAGCTGTAGAGGTTAGAAGTCGATGCAGGTCCTCAGATACGAAGTCAATGTCCCAGACAGTATGCCTACCATTTATATGCAACAATTTTCAGTATTTCCCACAAACACTTAGTTCCTCTGTAGGTCTTACTGAATTCTTCACGAGAGACAATTTGTAGTAGGGTGAACAGCATATTCTGGCTTACCTCTTTTATTATTCCGTATCCTCTGTCCTTCTCTTACTAACCCCTTTTCTATTGAAAGAATGAGGGTTGTGTACAATACTCTTCATCTGAGGTTTGATTTTAATTCAGTCCTTTGATTATCTTGCCACTTTTCTGTGTCCCTTTTGCTGTGTGAATCTTTGGATAAATAGCTGTTTTGATCATGGTACTCTGGATGATCCTGATAATTTACTATTAAACTTACAATGTAAAGAGCTTATCTGTGTACTTGCGTAGTTTGCTCAAGGTTAAGTTATTGTGAAGATAAGAAATACAGTTTCTCAATTTTTTTCCTGCCAAACTTTGCTTACCTTATCTAGAGACCGACTGTCAGCAAGTGATATGCTTCAGGTGAGAAAAGTGATGGAACACGTGTATGAGAAAATCATAAACTTGGATAATGAGTCTCAGACAACTAGCTCTTCCAATAATGAAAAAGCAGGAGAACAAGAAAAAGAGGAGGACATTGCTGTGCTAGCAGAGGAGAAGATTGAACTGCTGTGCCAGGACCAGGTAAGTTCCTTGGGTGTTTTAGCCTGTGAACAAAATCAGTGGCTAGCAATAAATCAGTTGTGAATTTCTGAATACTGAGATTGAAATATGCTATAGATTATCTGTTACCTTTAAAACCAAGTAAATGTTCTGATGTCATGTTAATTTACTGCTGACACAAGTTCCAGCTGCAGGTATCTGCATCAAAGAATATATAGTACGCCTGTTTAATTTGGTCTGACTAGTAGCCTTTATAGGATTACTTACTCATACTCAACAAATGGACATAATTCCATAGAGTTCCATTTCTAGCATTTTTTGAATGTTTTGAATTCTGCATTTCTAGCAGAGTTTAAAATTCATCCAATTAACTGTCTAGTAAGTGTAATAAGTGCATGAAAATTAAACATTGAGGAGGTCATTGTAATATGAAGCTATATGTTACATTACTAAATTCTTTCAGTAATGCATCCACTTTACTTGCTAGTTGAAAAATCTGAGCCTTCGCAGTGGTTCATCTTTGATGCCAGTTCACCCATTGGATTGTTTTGCCCAACCAGAGTGTTTTATCATTGAATTTCTGACAGTCTAGCAGATTTGTGGAATAAAAGATGAACTTTTAACTGTTTAGGTTTTGGATCCGAATATGGACCTTCGAACAGTAAAGCACTTCATCTGGAAGAGTGGCGGTGATCTGACGCTTCATTATCGCCAGAAATCAACGTGAAGGGAGTGGTGGACCCAAATGTCGGCTTATTTACTTGACCATACTGTACTGGTTCCACGAGTAGTACTATAGAAGCCCACTGAACCCCTAAGGTAGATGAGACTTCTAATGACTCAGTATGGATGGAAAGTATACATTTAATTGAAGTGACTAATAGATCTGTAATATAGAGGAAAAAAATCTATATGACTTAAACTAAAGTCTGTCCTAGTCTCAACCAATGAGATGAGAAGGCCCTGAGTGGTTTGTGTTGTGTGAGGTGTACAGAGAATGGATGATAATACAGTGCAGACTTTTGCTTCCTCCTTTTTTGCTTTTGTTTTTCCAGAACATAATATCCTCATCTGCTCATGCTTGATATGAAACCATTTTGGCCATATTAGTCGCTGTGTTCACAATATAATTCAGAACTGCACACAAGGTATTTTTAGTACATTCCATTCACAAAGTTCCTACAATGATTCCTCACAGGTTACTCAAACATTTTTACCACTTAAAGAAAATTGGAAAAGAAAAACAACTGAAAATAGGTATTGCATACGTGAAAGAATCGGCCCATTTAAATGCAAATGAAGGGTTAACATTAGACTTGTTTTAATACTGCAACTCAGTTGTTGCTTTAGAGAGTTGTTGACATGCAGAATAAGAACACTAGATATATATTGTAGCAGGGTCAGTCCAATGATGCTGTGCATCATAATAGAGTGAACATGCTTTGCAGCAACTTTGAGATTTTTTTTTTTTTAAAATATATATAACTACTTCCTGCACTGTGTCCTAGGTGTTCTAAAGACACACTAGTCTAAATTTTGGTAACTGTGCTCCAAAACGATGTGACATTTTGTTAAAACTTCAGACCATTCTGAAAATAACTTCGTATGTTTAATGTTAAACTTAAGAAACTTCTCAGCAGATTTCATATTCATGATACAAAAATACTTATTCTTTTCCGAAATTTTATATGCAGTTGTTCTTTTGTTATAGATGTATGCTCATCTTATTTTCACTGTTATTTCTAAAAATCTGTGACTGTCATAGACTCATAGTAGTCTTTATAGAGTTTAACTTATTGGGGGGGGTGGGGGGATAAAGGCATTTCAGTTTTGTGTGAGAAAATGTCAGGCTGTCCCAGAAAGCCATTTGTACCCAGAACAAACTACAAATCCTCATAAAGAAATTGTGTAAAAATGACTCTTGTCTGAAGCAGAAGCACAAGTGCCTTCAAAGGGCAGTTATATTACTCGAGTTTCTTCAGGAGACCTATGCTCTTGCCCTTCCTGTATCTGCTATCAAGATTTAGGTTGAGGCCTAAAGAAAGTCCCAATAAATTATATTACTGGGATTGTGTTGGTCAAACAAAAAGTAAAATATTTTTCATTGTATTTTATTTGAAAAAATAGTCAAATCAATACCTTCTGCACTCTTAACCTAGATAAACTTATTGCTTAAACAAAAAATATGGTTCAGAACTAAGTTAGCATGTCTTTTTCCCTGTCTTTTGAGAGTCAGTTTCAGTTTTTAATCCCCATTTCTGTGTATGCTGTTCGACACAGTTGTGCTATAACTACACATTTTTAGTGATATTTGTGAATTAAATGGTTAAACAGAACTGTAACTTTTATTGATAAATTGTCCTGACTTGTATTTATTAATAGCAAGGGTCTACGCTTGTTCATAGGCACTGTTTGGGTTTGGGTGGGTTTTTTTCCTGGTTGTCTTGCTGTCCTGTTGTATACATTGGAATTGCTCCCAGTAATTTTGTTTGAAATCAGACAAGGTTGTAATTTTTCTTCTTTTTTTCTTTCTAACCATCCCGAAACACAGTTTCAGGAAAGATTGACGGAAGAGTCTGCAATGCCAGAAGGGTAAATGATGTTTCACAGTTGTATAGAATAAAAGGCTTTAGTTAAAATATTTTCCAGTTGTTTTGTGTATTGGATCAATTACGCAATTTTAGAGCTTGGACCATTGCCACTTAGGGGTTGTACTACAAAGGACTTCAGAATCCTTTGGAGCTTCAAGTAACGGAATGGCTGAAGAAATGGTGGTGCTGTAACAAAAATCCTTTAAAGATGATCTTCAAATATGGTTGGATATAGAATTGAGCAGGCATGCAAGCCTTCACATACAAGCTCTGAGATCCTTTTGAGGTGGAGCATGTGTTCCAGTAATGCTGTTCACATGGGCAGCGCGTCCTTTATTACTATGGAAATATTTTGTGCTAACACCAATGTAGAACATCAGGAAAGACAGTCCTGCAACAAGTGACTCGTGCCAGCTGGCACTGAGTTTTCTGGCTATTGGAAGGGTTATAGCACGGTAAGAGACACATGGGAGACCAAGACTGGGTTTCCTGGTGCTGAAAATACCAATACAGAATACTCAAAGCCTTTGCTGTGGGGACCATCGACTGGGCTGCTCTCAGTGAGAACACAGTAATTCAGTGACCAAATATGTTTCTGGAGACTCCCAGCATCCATCTTAGATGGAGTGTCAAGTGAGAGGAGTTTGGCTTTTTGTTTTTTGGTTTGGTGTTTTTTTTTTTGCTACTCCCTTTTAATTTCTGTCACCGTTTCTGGAATAGTGCTGTCTGTAGGAGTCCTGAAGGCGAGAGCAGGAGAGGCCCCTGCACAGCATTAAGGGGTTTATACAAGAGTCACAGCTCACTGCGATGTGGTGAACAGAGAGAGAGTTACAGTGTGTCCGACTCAGAGGAAAAGCTGCCGATTTCTAGAGGTGTCCTTTTTTTTTTTTTTTTAATTTCCCAGTTTATAATGGAAAGGATTTGTAAATCTAGTATTTAGTAGTGTAACCTGTCTCCCAGAAAAAACTTTGTCTAAGGCAATTTTTTTTTCTTGTCAGGTGGGGGGTAGTGCTGAGAGCTAGGCTCAGTGGTTGCAGCTGAAGAGCAAGTATCATTTGAGGAAGAGAAGAACTACTTGAAGGATTTAGCATTAACTTTTAGAAACATTATTAAAATACTCAAGCCCTAGGCAGAAGATAATAATGTAGTTCTACCTTGTAGCCCAGTGGTGGGAAAATAAGGGACCTGGGATTTAGTAGTTTGATTGCCTGTATTCCACAGCAGAGGGGCAACCAGGGGAGTGACGGCACACTCCTTGGTCAGCCATGGGCAGAGCAGCGTGGAGAGCTGCTCGGAGAACAGCTCTCCCATGGTTCGGATCATGCAAGCTGAACTGTGGGCATCTATTCAACACATAGATCTCAGGAGAGAGGGAAGTCGCAGAGGTCAGTTTGCTGAGGTGAATTAGTGTGGAGGTGCCAGGGAAGGGGAGAGAATACGTTTGCCAAAGGTGAAGGCATAGAGTGACTGTTAATGCCTGAATGCAGTTACAGTACTCCAAATTCTGACCAGTACGTTACACCAAGGTATTACTTTTTCTTTCACAGAGGTCCCATTTGCTTTAAACTTTATCCCTAGAAATTTCTTGAACTTGACATTTAGCATCAATCTTTAAGCACAATTTTCCACTTGTAGCTCCCAGAGCCAGGTGGAGTTACCACCCAGCTAGATAACAGAACTGTTTGTTGGAAGCACATGCCAGCTTAAATATCAAGAAAGCAATTGACTAAAATAGTTTCCTGCACTATGTGGTGGAGGCTTTTCTGTAAGCAGCTGTACAAACATCATGCAGACAGCAGTACTGATGGGAGACAGGGGGATGTACCCGATCTCTCTCTCATGCTGTTGTGCCACTGTTCTAGCCCTATTTTTCATGGGACTGCAAATGCTTAATTACTTTTTGTAGTTTAGAAATGGAACTTAAACCAAACAGTTGCTTTGAAATTGCTGTTAAGCAAACATTAATTTGCATTGGTTCTGCTGTAAGGAAAAGCAAAGAGGGAAGATGTGTGGACATCAGTGGCAATGCCCAGGAAGTAACAGATAAACAGTCAGATGAAATGCAGCGAGTAACCTGTAACTGCTTTCCCTTAGCAGCCAGAGGCAGCGGTGCCTAGTTCTTTCATAACTGCTTGGAGGTGAAAAGAGGTGCCCAGTTACAGGGGAAGGTGGAGGATGGTAAGGGTGCTGAGGGGAATGCTGAGCGAAAGGCTTCTCCCTGCAAGACTGCCTCTGCTGCTTCCCATTTCTGCTGCATTCATGGCACCGAGCACTGGCCTGCTGGAATAGCTGAAGCGTCCCGCTTCCCCAGTTAGTGCTGTAATCCTTAGCGCTAGGTGAGATTAAATCCTGAACCTAATGTTAGAGCGCATTATCCTGTTGCGTCTGGCCGTACGTTAGTAACCTCCTCCTCCCTTTATTTTGCCCTCTTTGTGATACTGCTGAGATCATCCTTCTTGTATCTGCAAAACAACTATCAGGGTTGAGTTTAGAGTTGCCCTCAAAGTTTACAGAAGCAAACAAGGTAGTGCACAGCTCTCCTACTCATCTGGAAAGAGTAGCTGTTCGTTTGGGACAGCACCAGATTGATTGTAGCCTGGTTTGGTTTCTTGTTTCAAATCCCAAATACAAAGACGGACCATTCAAGCCATCCCACTAGCTCTGTCTTCCACAGCCATGCTACTTGTTTTAGACCAACGTAAAATATCACCTTTATTATTTCAGAACCAGCCTATCCTCACAGGCCTTATGAGGGCAGTTCTTTCAGTAGTAGTGCCTGGACATTCCCTCCCTGAATTTTCCTCAAATTAAGGTGAGATAACTGCAAATGCTCCAGCTCTGCCTACAGCACATAGTCTGCATCAGAGGGGACGGCTCTCCTGCTGTCTACGCTTGCAGGAAGGCAAAGCAGGAGGCCTGTGCCTCCAGGAGAACTGGGATCCTGTCTGGGGCCAGCCACACTCAGGAGCTTCTACCACTCTTTTTAGCGTATATTCTGTAACTAAGAAATTCTAATCAGTTTTCTCACCTCTGCCCCCAGGAGTAAAAGTACTTTCCACTTCTCTTTACTTCAGCAGGGAGGTAGCTTCAGGCATCTCCAAAGGTAGTCTCCAACTCCTCAAGAGAAAAGGGATTTGATGAGGAGGTTAAACTCTTCACCTCCTTTCGCATTTAACATTATGCATTAGGAGAATACAACATACTACTGCTAGAGGTTTAATTCTATTTGGTTTTCTAAACAGGTATGTTAGACCACTGTTCATTTGGATGTTATGAAAAAAGATTCAAGTCTTCATAAATAAACCAAGAGCCAATTAACATAAAGTAGGCTGGACACCAACTGCTGTAAGCATTAAGCTGTTTATTACTCTGACATTTGAAATTTAATAGTTTTGACTTTTCCTGCTCTTAGATTTCTAAAGGGTGCTTATGGTACAGCATCACTTAAACGAGATACTACCAGCTTAAAAAGTGGTTTTGACAAAGGTGTAAGATTAGAAACAATCCCATGTAAAACACCAAAAAACCCAAATAGATCACCTAGATGTCTTCAGTCATCAGGCTCTGAGACAAAACAAACTTATCAATAGCTTAAATTACATTTATTTTTAGTTTTTGGCTGTTTACCCTTGTAGCAGTCATTTGGGGGAAGAAGAAAGGCAATCTATTTTAACAATATAGGAAAAAAAATTGATTTGCTATTAACAGACCATTTAGCAGACTAGATTCCAAACCTCTGAATTCTCCTACCTGCAGTTAGGGCTGAATGCATTCTTTAAAGCAGAAGCTATTTTGACCATCCTGGCCAGAGCTTCTGTATTTTATGTGAAAACTATTTCAGACTAACACATGAAGGAATACATAGGACAGATTTCATGTCAGGGTGCACTCATCTGAAGACCACTCGTGTTACAGCTTCACCTGCACCCTCTTGCTAAAGCCGAGGTGTCACAGGCAAATCCGTGCAACCCAGACTCCCCATCCCACATCGTTACTGGATTTGAGCCTAGTCAGGCATTTCACTTACTGACCTCCACAGGGCACAGCGTGGAAATGGAACAGGAGACAGGGCAGAGAAAAGGAAATTACACAATGTTGTGCTAAATAAGTGTACTCTAGTTTATAGCTTACCCACCTAACCTTGTGCCTCATTCTCTTAATTTATAAAGGATTTTCACTAACTGTACCAGCTATACTGAATTAAT